GAGATATCAATCAATAGAGAAAAAATAACATTACATCAATGAGTTGTGAGACAACAAAAAGTGATCTACCATATGCAAAACTGGGGCATCAAGGAGAAGAGTAGAAAAATATTTGAGACTTCAGGATACTTTAAAATTTTATAAAAACTAAGTATTCACTAATCCTAGACTCACAAAAACCCCAACAAAATAAATGTAGAGAAAGCTATATCATGAAACATAATAACATTGAACAAACAAAATATTTATAAGAGAATATTAAAATCACTTTTGTCATACATTTCATTTCTACAGTTGGAATATGTAGAAACATACTATATTATAAAACATTGCTATTAATTTTCATTTAAAATGATATTTCTTAATTAAGGTTAATAGATGTACCCACCTTTAAACCTTTGTTTAATTCAAATTTTGACTTGGTATCATTTTCCTTTGGCCTGAAGATTTTCCTTTAATATTGCTTGTGGTTCATGTCTATTGTCTATGATTCTCTTAGTTTTTGTCTGGAATGTCTGTTTCATCTTCATGCTTTAAAATAAAAAATACTTTTAGTGGGCTTAGGTTTCTAGGGTGACCTTTTTTTTTTCTCCAGTGCATCTGAAATGTCATTCCACTGTCTTCTAGCTTGTGTGACTTCTGACAAAAAGTCTGATGTAGCTCTTTTTCCTCATTGTATCTCTCATTTCCTCGTTTCTTTTTTTTTTCTTTTTTCTTTTAGTTTATTAGTACATGTGTTTAGCACATAATTTTACATTCTTTGTGGGAAGTTGCTACATGTACATTACACATCTTAATTCATTTTTTTATCTCCTTCCCCTCCATCTGTGGATTCCCTTTCCCCTTTGAGAATGATCTCTCTACTTCCTATTATATTTATTTTGCTCTTTATTTTTTTGCTCTGTAATTCTCATATAAGAGAAACCATGCAATATTTAAGCTTGTGTATTTGCTTTATTTCACTTAATATTTTGGTCTCAAGGTGCATCCATTTTCCTGCAAATGACTCAAGTTTATATTTCTTTATGGCATAGTAGTACTCCATTCTGTGTAAATAATACATTTTCTTTATCCATTCATCTGTTGTTGTACATATTCTAGTTGAGGTTTTATTGGCTAACTCTGTTTCAGTTTATATTCCTTAATCTTGGATTTAGGTTAAAATCTTTAACTTACCACAGTCTACCTTCAAACAATATTATACCACTTCACATATAAAGAATTTACAACACTATACTTTGATTTTCCCCTTCTGATTTTTGTGCTGCATTACTCTATTGGCCAGAGATATTGAAGCTTTTTCATGTATTGGCCATTTGTACTTCTTCTGAGAAGTTTCTATTCATTTCAATTGCCGATGTTCTGACTGGGTGTTTTGTTTTGGGACCTATTTTTTTTTTCAGTTTTTATATGTGTTAGATATTAGTCCTCTGTCCAAGGAGTAGCTAGAAAAATCTTTTTCTCATTCTGTAGTTGTCTCTTCACTCTAGTAATTGTTTCCTTTGCTGTGCAAAGGCTTTTAAAACTTGATATGATCCCATTTGCTGCTTTTTTATGCTATTTCTTGTGAAATTCTGTTTTTAAAAAGTCTTTACCTATGCCTATGTCTTTTAGAGTTTTACCTGTTTTATTGTAATTATGTTTTAATATCCAGATTTTAAAATCCATTTTGATTTTATTTTACAACACGATGATACATAATGGATGTAGATTCAATTGTCTGCATTGTGTAACTAGTTTCCCCAGAAACATTTGTTAAAGAGGCTTTACTTCCTCCAGTGTTTTTTGCACCTTTGTTAAGGATCAGATCATTGGATGTGGCTGAGGTTGTTTCTGAATCCTCTTTTCTGTTCCACTGATGCAAATGTCTGTTTTTGTGTTAGTAGCATGCTAATTTTGTCACTGTAGTTTTGTAATATAACTTGAAATTTGGGGTTGTTCCTTTCTCTTGTTACCCAGGATTGCTTTTGCTATCGTAGATCTCTTCTGGTTCCATAAAAATTTAGGATTGTTTTTTCTAGTTCCATGAAGAATGCTGTTGGTATTTTGCCAGAGATTGCATGAAATGTATATATAAATTTTGGTAGTATGGCTATTTTGGCAATATTTGTTCTGTCTATCTAGGAACAGAGGATATCTTTCCATTTTCTAATGTCTTTGATCTTCTTTTCCCAAGTACTTTATGTATTCTTTGTTATCTAGGTCTTTCACTTTCTTGATTGGTTTAATTTCTAAGTATTTAATTTTTCTCGTGGCTATTGTGAATGGTATTGTTTTTCTAATTTCTTTCTCCGCAGGTTCATTATTAGTGTACATGAAAGTTATTGAATTTTTTGTGTTGATTTTGTATCCTGCTACATTAGTAAATTGGTTATTAGTTCTAGTAGTCTTTTGATAGAATTTTTTGGGTCCTTGATGTAAAGGGTCATGTCATCTGTTAATAATGATAGTTTAACTTATTCATTTCCTACCATATCCCTTTTATTTATTTCTCTTGCCTGATTGCTCTGACTAATATTTTGAGCAATACACTGAACAGGAGTTGTAATACTTTTCTTGATTTTAGAGGATTTTCAGAGGGAAAACTTTCAGCTTTTCCCCTTTAATTATTTCTTTAATTTTTTGGTACCAGGGATTGAACTCAGGTCCTTGTGCTTGCAAGGTGGGCCACTGAACCGCTGAGCTATATCTCCGGCCCCCTTTTCCCCTTTTAATATAATATTGACCATAGATTTATCATAAATGGCTTTTGTTAGATTGAAGTAAGATCCTTCTATACATATTTTCTTCAAGTTTTTTTATAATGAATGGATGTTGGATATTGTCAGAGGATTTTTCTACATCTATTAAAATGATACTTTTTTTTACTTACTTTTGTTTATGCGATACATTACATTTATTGTTTTCCACATCCTTGGGTTTAAGCCTACTTGGTCATGATGCATGACGTTTTTAATGATTTGCTGCATTCTGTTTGCCAGTATCTTGTTGAGGATTTTTTGCATCTGTATTCTTTAAAGAGATTGGCATGTATGTTTTTTGTTTGTTTTAGTTGGGTCCTTATCTAGTTTTGGAATAAAGGTATTGTTAGCTTCCAGGAATGAATTTGGAAGTATTCCTTCCATTTCCATTTCACTAAAGACTTTGAGGAATATTGACATTAGATCTCCCCTGATGTTCTTGTTGAATTCAGCAGTGAATCCACTGTGTCCTGGGTTTTTCCTAGTCATTAGTGTTTTAAATTACTGCTTCAATTTCCCAATGTATGTATTGTAACAGTGCGTGTGCATGCTCTAGCACACGTGTGTGTGTGTGTGTGTGCGCGTGCACGTGTATGTTAGTTACTGGAAAATGAATGGAGGACCTCACACTAAGATACATCCCCAGCCTTTTTTTTTTTTGAGACAGGGTCTTCTTGCTACTTTGCCCAGTCCGGCCTCAAACTTATGAACTTCCTGCCTCAGCCCCCTGAGTAGCTAGGATTACCAGCAAATGCCACCATTTCCAGCTTTTAAACAGCCTTCAGGAGATATAATTCAACTATCACACAATCTACCCATTTAAAGTACACAATTCAATGTTGTTTGTATATTTGTAGATCTGTTCCACTATCAGTATAATCAATTTCAGAATATTTTTGTCGCTTTAAAGAAAAACCTTATATTCTTGAACTCTAATCTTATCACCCCATCTCAACTAGACCTAAGAAACCCCTTATTTATTTCCTGCCCTTCTATATTTTTCCATTCTAGTTTTCTTTTGCTTTAATGCTGAAGGTCAAACCCACAGCCTTGTGTATGCTAAACATGTACTCTACCACTGAGCTCTATCCCTTGCTCATTTTAATTAGGCTCTTTGTCATTTGAAGAAGTTTTCAAATATTCAAAATGTGAATCTTAACCAGTAATATCTGTTGAAAATATCTGCTCAATATCTGTAGTTATCCTTCAATTTCATTTGTGTTTGTATAAGTGTTTTAATTTAAAAAGTCAAACTTACAAATATTAAATTTTTTATTTGCACTTTCCTCTGAAGAAATCTTACTTTCTAAATATAATCTCCTGTATTTTCCTTTAAAAGTTACAGGTATATTTTTCCATTTTGCCTTTTACTCACCTGGAACTTATTATTATGTAATAATTTGTTACATGGTTATCCATGTTCTAAGTGCTATTTATTGACTAGTCCATCCTTTCCTTACTCTCTACTGCTGCCATTGTCATAGATCAAGTTCCTCTACATGTGTAAGGAACATTCTTAGCTTTCTGTTCTCTTTCAGTAATCTGTTTTGGTTTTTCATCCCTATACAAATACCACATAATTTTATCACTGTAGGGTTATAATAAATACTACTAACTTGTAGCATGGGCTGTGCTGATTTTTTCATTCTTCAGTGAGTGTTTTGACTATCCTTGGCACTTTGCTCTTCCATGAATTCATTATCAGCCTGTTAAATTTCATGAAAAATATTAGTGTTTCTATGAACGTGAAATGAATATATGGGTTACTTTGAGAACTGCTGTCTGTGATACCATGTCTTCTTTCTCATGAAAAAAAGTTTTAGAGGAATCTCGAGCTACCTAAAAGTACACTCACCTACAGGGATCTAGCCCAACAAAGGTCAGAGGAAATGATACTTATGCTGAAGTATGTTGAACTTCATAATCTCTGTATAGAATTTAGTCCAAGTACTATGTTCTATAATTGTCAGTTGTGCACATCAGAGACCCAGTGATGTTTGTTCACTGTGTTCTTTTGTACTTTCATTGTCACATTTATTTGTTTGCTCCAGCTTTTAGGCTTCATGGACTTAGCAAAAAAATCAATGGGAGCTTAAAGAATTCCACTTTTTGGTGTATATCAAATCTTTTGCCTATAGTGGGAAAATCATAGGAATTAATTCAGTTGATCCTGAAAGGATACAGTGTCTTGATAACTATAGAATGACAATTACACTGTGAGTTTCTAACTTATTTGGGATTTTGTTCATTTTCATATAGTTCTGAGGCTATTTGGATACAAACAGCATATCAAAAAGGCTATGACTACGTGTTGCCCATATGTGGATAGTCGTAAGTATTTAGATACATGACCAAATTGTTCTGTGTTCATTTGGATATGTCAGTATAGATTTCATGGTCTATTATTTTATTTTTTTCAGTAATGGAACAGAAGTTTCCGAGATCTGTACTGCATTCTTCCACACATGGACATCTTGGCTGATTCTTTTTCATATTTTTAACTAGTAGACTTTATGTTTCAGAGTAGTTTTAGATTTACAAAATAATTGAGCAGAAAGCTAAATAGTTCCCATGTACTGTTTCCCCTTTTATTAACATGTTGCATTGGAGTCTATATCTATTAAAATTAATGAATCAATATTGATTAATTATTAGTATCTGAACTCTATAGTTTACATTAGGTTTCACCTTTTCTGTTGTGTAATTCAGTGGGTTTTGAAAAGTGTATCTTGACACATGTCCACCATCACAAAATTTCACAGAACATTTTTCCTGCCTTAAGAAAGTCCCTGCCATTACTCCTTTCCCTCCCCAACAGGTCCTGGCAATCACTGATGTTTCCTGTCTCTTTAATTTGTCTTTTTAGATTGTATTATAAATGGCACTATAAAACATGTAGCCTTTTTATACTGACTTATTTTACTTACAAATATGCATCTAAGTTTCCTCCATGTCTTTCTGTGTCTTGATAGCTCTTTGCTTCTTATTGCAGACTAGTATTTTTTTTTTTTTTTTTTGTACCAGGGATCAAACTCAGGACCTTGCACTTGCAAGGCAAGTGGTGGAACCACTGAGCTAACTCCCCGGCCCTTTTTTATTTTTATTTTTTTGGTAGTATTCCATTACATGGCATACAACTTGGTCCATTTTTAATCTATTGCTCTTTGGTGGACTATTTAACTGTAACAGACAACTCTCACTTCTAAATCATAAGGCCCTCTATGTTGAACCATAGTCAAGTACCTGTTTGAACAACTACCCCTTTTAGACTCATTTACTGGTAAGTGCTCAACATTTGTAAAATAAAAGATATTAGTCTCATTAATGGCCCCTAATTTGGATAGCAGTTCCATCAAGATTTTTAAACTGGAAGGTGGGGGGTGAAGGGAGGGTGGGGACAAGGAAAAAAAATGAGAACCAAAACCTGGCATGTAAAGGTACAAGATCCCAGTAATGAATGTAACTGTACTGTCTACCTAGAATGTACCATTAAATTCAATTTAAATTAAAAAAAAAGATGTTTAAACTGGCTGGATTTGTGGGGGTGGCCTGAGAGCTAGGAGGAATGGCTCAGTGGAAGGGGCCCTGGCCTAACAATTAAGAGCTCTAGGTTGTAATCACAGCTCTGCCACAAACCTGAGTGAGCTACCCACTTCTATGGCTCCAAGTCTTCCAGAAGAGTGCAAGCCCCCCTTACAGATCAACTGTATATCTGTGGCACTGGATGCCATCTATACACCAAGGTATATGTAGTAAAGCAGTAGGACCATGAGCTCATCGTCATAGCCTTTGCACTGTGGTTGTCCTACTGGGATCTAGCTTCTTTCCAGGGAATGGGGCTCATGTTTTGTGTCACCAAGAGCTTTGCAGAACTTCCACAAGAGAGGCTCATGGTACACATTCATCCTGAGGCCTGTTGGAGATAAACATAAGGTTACACTCTGAAAGCAGATTTTTCCTTGGCCCTGAAAAGACCTTTTTACCCCTGTACATATTATTAAATCAAAATATATAGGCCGGGCATGGTGGCACACGCCTATAATCCCAGCACTTGGGAGGCTGTGCCAGGAGGATCACTGTGAGTTCGAGACCAGCCTGGGTTACATAGTGAGTTCCAGGTCAGTCTCAACTACATAGTGAGACCCTGTCTCAAAAAACAAAATAAAACAAAAAATATATAGAAAGCCACTAGTAATTAAAGCTGCCAGATGGAGTTGGTTCTCTTTAGATAAACTCTCCTCCCCTTCTGTCTGACAATGTAAGTCACCCACTTCCTAAGTTTAAACTCCTTTTTGCTATCAGGAACTGACTTCCAGAAATGCTTCTGAATTTTTGGCTTTAAATACCATGTTCACCACTTTTCACAATGAATTTTTCTCATCTTCTGATCCCTTTTTCTTTTGTGAGAGGGCCTTTTAACAGTGTTAAAACAGGAGCCACACATTTGTTCCTTTCTGCAAATTAATTTATCCTGAGAGACTCCTCATTTCATTCTGGGCTCCTACTCTAAGCCCAGCAGCAGGCTCTGTGGAGAGAATCAGACATTCCTGTGACATCAGAAACAGTCTTAGAAGGATAGTGACAAGTGTATGCAAAGCAGCTAGAGCTGACCAATTTGGGTTCTTGACCAGTAGGTCCACCATTTCCCTACTTGCTCACCAAGAAATTTCTGTTTCCTTTAGCCATCACTCTCTGTTGGACCTCTGGGAGTCAGACCACTTGTGCCTTACAGGGAGAAATAGTCTCACTTGTCTCCCTTCTTCCTGGATGTGCCTTCCACTGCCCAGAGTCTGAAGAATGTTCTTCCTCCCACAAAGCTATACCTACCATTCTCAAAGGCTATATTTACACTGGTTTTCGAGCAACCAGCCTATAGCTCTGGTGTTCAGGGACCTCTACCATCCAGCATTCTTCCCCCTACTTATGCTATATAACAACAAATAGAGTGAATGTTTAAATGTTTTAAAAAGGTATAGTAAAAGACACAGTGGTATTAACTCCCTCAAAATACTCCTTTACAGACTTTAAAATCACTTATCCCATCTTTTTTGCCACTTTCTGAAGCAGTTCTGGAAATCCACTTTCATGAGTGTGTAGTTGCGCTGTTATGGCTGCCTCAATGTCCTGAATCAATTCAAAGTGCCTTCTTTTCATGGTCATTTTGACTTTGGAGAAGAACCAGAAGTCACATGGTGCCAAATCCAGTGAGTGTGATGAGAGGATACACTGTAATGTTTTATGATTTTGCCTTTCTGTTGGATGGCACTTACTTGGTGGTAGCATTTCTTTGTATTGTTGATCACGTCTCATATAGACACTCACAAAGAAGTCTTCCAGAACTGCTTCAGAAGTAGTAAGAATACTAGGAAAAGCATGTTCACAGAAAGAGGGAATATTTTGAGAAAGCTAATGGCAATGTGTCTTTTACTGTAATAAGTTTTTAAAGTTATACATTTACCATATTTATTGATCACATCTTGTACCTCTCCAGGTGACCTTGGCCACCCCCTTCCAAAACAGCTTGGGCTTCAGCCAAACCAAACATTTTTAATGTGTTAGCTTTTAGTCCCTGTGAACAAATATCTGAGAGTAACAATTTAAAGGAGGAAAAGCATATTATATTTTGTTTATTACTATACATTAGTTATAGAAAAATGGGTTTTCTTTTGGTATATTAATGCATGTATATAATATACTATGATAATTACTACCCCCACATTACCCCTCATCCTCTTGCATCTTCTCTTCCTTTAATCCCTGTCTTCTTTTTAAATATTTCCCCTTCTAGATGAAAGGTTTAGCTTGGCTCACAATTTCAGTCCATAATCAGCCAGCTCCATTGCTTTAGACCTGTAGTGAGGCAGAAACAACATGGTGGAAGGGTATGGTGGAGAAAGTCTGTTCATCACAGGAAGCAGAAAGTGAGGGAAAGAGCCAGGGAGGAAGGGGTAGGGCATCAGTATAACCCCAAGGTTACATCTCCAAAAACCAATTCCTTCAACTGATCCCTGCCTTCTAAACTTCTATCACCTCACAAATTTTGATCTCATGAACTCAGTGCATCCGTGGCTCAATCAACTCTCTAGAACCTACCTCTGAACGTTGCTGCATTGGCAAACAAGGCTTCATGATGAGTCTTTGGGGGACACTCATACTTATACCATAACACTTCTGATCCCCAAGCATATCGTTTAATACATATTATTTTAGCTTGTTCATACTTGGAGTTCTCCTTGCCTCTTCCACTGTTTTTTTCCCCTATTCATTCTTTAAGTTGCCATTCCAACACCACCATCTTAGTGAAGTCCTCTTTATTCCCTGGAGAATTTGCTTCTTCTTAGATAATGGAACATGGAGCTCAAGGCCTTTGCTCATGCTGTATGGTGAAGAGAATTGGCACTAAGAAGTTCTAGAGTGACCTGGAGTGTCCAGAAATGTGGACTTACCAGGCTCCTTGCTGGCTGCTTGGTCATGGTCATACCTACAGCCAGGTGCATCTGTTCTCAGACCTCAGCAGGAGCACAGCCATCTTCCATGAGGAACATATCCCCTTTGGCAGAAAGCCTAGGGAAGGAGGATCCTTTGGCTAGTCCTTCCAAACCTGTCCTGGGAAGAATGGAGTAATCAGTCCTCTATGCTAATATCCTCTCTTCATCTACCCTAGGCAAGGCTACCTGTAGCAATTTTTAACTGGCCATAGACTGGGCACCAGGACCCAAATGTTACCAAGATAATCCTCTCAAAGAGTTTGTGGGCCAGCAGGGAAAATAGATCTCTGTGTATTTGGCATATTTATTAGAAACCAAAATGTATTGTATCACAGTTCTGAAGTCTGAAATCAAGATTTTATTAAGGTTGGTTCCTTTGGAGGCCTGTGAAGGAAGCATCTGTTCCAAGCCTCTTGCCTTGGCTAGTAAATGGCCGTCTATTCCCTGTGTTTCTTCATACCATCTTTTATACATATCTGTGTCCACATTTCCTCTATGACATCAGCCATATTGGACTAGGTAGAGCCTACCCTAATGATCTCATTTAAAATCAATTACCTCTTTAAAGACCCTGCCATCAAATATAGTCATGTTTTAAGTAGTGGACTTCAATGTATAAATAGGGGACACAGTTATCTCATAAGAATGAGTAATGATAACTTAGGATAATAAGGGCCATCATAGGGGAAGTTCTTCACAGAAGACTGTTGCGACAAGGCAAGGTTACCCCGTTCTGGTCTGTGTTCTCTTGACCACATCACCCTTTGCCAGTGAGGAATACCAATGCCTGACGTTTAGTTGAGCAGACCACTGGTAGAGGCAGAGATGAGTTTAAACCCACAGCCATGTGGTTCTGTGTGGTTCTGTATGAGTTCAAACAGGAAGTCTTATAACTGAGGTGCCCATGTCCTTTGCTTTCTCTGATCTGGCCCAGATCACCCTCAGGAGGAGAAGAGATCTCTATGAGGTTCTTCTCAATTCTCCCTTTCTCTGCAGAACCTGGGGAGTTGAAAGAACTTAAGGTACAGAAGGTTCTGAATTTAAGTTCCAGCTGTGCTACTTATTAGCTTGTTGATTATGGACAGGAAAGTCATATCCCTCTAGGAGCAACTACTGCTACCTTCTGAGAAATGGGATGATAATTCCTATCAGACATTATTATATAAGTAAAATGAGAACGTTTGTAGAAAGACTGTAGGTCTAGCCAAGCCTTGTGTGTCTTGATCTCTGAGTCCTGGCAGAGCCTGGCATGAGGTGTGACCTGGGGCAGTGCTCAAGTCACTATGTCAACTGAATGAAGCATCAGTGACTGCATCAAAGGTTGAGGGGGTACAGTGTTCTTCCCCTACAGTCTTCTTCCAGTTGTGCCCATGAAATCAGAGGAAGGGTCTATGTGTTTCTTTTATGCCCAAAACTACAGGGAATAAAGATTTTCTCCCTTTATGGAGATAAAGTAGAAAAGGCAGGTAGAGGCTCAGGAAATGTCACT